CAACTAAGAACACTTGGAAAGCTTCCAAATTGTGATCTACTCCATCTTCAAGCTAAGTATAGTGGTAAACACTTGAATCCCAAGATTAAAACTTATCATATTCATCATGTTCATCATCCCTTGAAGGTGTACGGCCGCACACCTTCATATGGGGCAACATACCTTCAAACCTTTTTAAGTGTGAAGAGCAAACACTTCAAAAGTCATTAAATGGACTCAAATGAGGAGTGTACGACCACACACACACTCTGTACGGCCGCACACTCTTGTGTGCTGCCTCACACACACTCCTGGACGCACACCCCAGCCGCACACTCATTTTCAAGGCCATACACTCACATTAATGCCCACATTTGGCCCTAAACTTGCATAAATCTTTAAGCATGGATCCTAGGGTACTTATTCTTAGTAGTTCCAAGCCCTAAGGATGTTTTCCTATCATGTTAGTCATGAAACACCTAAATTCTAACTCACCTATGTATCGTCACGTGAATAATAGGGGCCATAGGCGTTCAGGGCATCCGTTGACACTCGAACCCTACATTAAGCGGTGAGTTCATACCCCTACTCTTTTTCACTGTTTTAACTGTTTTTAAGGGGGGGGGGGAACCCAAGCAAAGTACAAGAGGTTTCTTGTACTCAAAACTTGTTTACATGTGTGTGTTTCACATTTTATATGCTTTTAACACTGATCGTTACAACCGATAGTCGTTTCAACATACAGATCACATAAACATATATTTGTGAAATGGGTTTTAAACTGTTATGTTTTTCATATATTTCACAAATGCCTTTCACATTTTATCAGTTAAAAACATGACATTAGAACATTTGAACATAATACCTGTACACTGTTTTGTCCTCGGTAACACTCCACGGAAATACGCAAGTGGAGGACTATCATATTATTACTAGTAAATTTGTTAATCCTGTATGATTGGAGACACGTCCTCGGTAACACTCCACAGAGATATGCGAGTGGAGGACTACACCCGTAACCAGAATCTCTGGGATTTAGAGAGCGTGACTTGAGTGTATAGATCTATACGGGGCTGACTACCCCACACCTGGCTGCTAGCTACAGCCGAACCGAAAGGTTCAAGGGTGACGAGAGTCATAAGGTGATGTGGACTACTTATTGCCACATTTAGTCTATTGTATGGTTATGGAACTCGCAATTAGGATAACAGAGATTTACTCTATAGTAATAATGAATAACGTAATACATCTTTTGCATTGATAACCAACAGTCAGGAAAATATGGGACTTTCCTGGGGAACGTTTACATAACCATAAAAGGGTAACAAACCGGATAACTTTACATCTTTCACAATTGGTAAAACACAATCAGTAAAGTATGGGACTTTACTGGGAATACATTGGTACCTAACCAGAACAGTATATCCAACCAGATAACCTAACTGTACATTTTCACAAGGGTAAACATGTTTTCAGTGTACAACTTTACTTTACATGTTAAGAAACAATAACCAACCTTTTAAGAAAATATGGGATTTTCTTGGTGCGTAACATTTCAGAAACAGAAAGGAAACTCAAACCTTTTCATAAAACAAAAACCGCTTATGAACTCACCAGTGTTATGCTGATTTTCAAACCGCTTGTGTTCTCAGGTCAGAGATAGAACAGGTACTCGAAGATCATTTTGTTCCAAGTTGGAGTGCGCAGAAGATCAATTCATTTTGTTATTATATACTATGTATCACAACTGTATAACTTACTATTGTAACAACCGTAAAACTTTTCAATATGTAATGTAATGGTTGTTCTACTTTACTTACTATGTGCATTGGATTTGATACTCAACGTGGAGTCAACCCCGGAAACGTTTCCGCCTTCGGTTTTCGGGGTGTGACAGATCCTAACCCTAATTTCTCATTTGGGTGTTTAATTAAGGATTTTTATCTAATCAAACTTTGTCTCTTTTCTATTTCAAATCTCTACTTCGAACAACAACAACAACGCTTCATGCTCGACCCCTTCCGGCTCATTCTCACTCATGAATTTGTGTGGGAGGGTGATTTTTGATGGGTCCAACTTCAATGATTGGATCTGCAATATCCGAATGGTCACCCGTTACGAGGACAAGGAGTATGTTCTCAATAAGGAGCTGAAAGAGGTTAATGTCAACACTACCACTCCCGAAGAGATTGCTGTTTACGAGGCTCACGAGCGAGATGCTACGAAAGTTCATTCCATCATGCTCGCGACAATGACCGCATAACTCCAAAATTCATACGAGGACTATTACTCCTACGAGATGCATCAAGATTTGATGGATAGGTACCATCAAAGCGCGAGGCAGGAAAGGTACGAGATCATCGTTGCGATGATCACTACTAAGATGAAGGATGGAGAGTCCATCACGACCCACCTGCAGAAAATGCAGAGGTATGTAGACCGCTTGCTGAAGTTAAATGTTAAATTCAATGAGGAGTTGACAATAGATATTATTCTACACGCCTTACCTCCTTGTTACAACCAATTTCGTATGACATACCATATGAAAAATGAGGAGGTCACTCTAAGCAAGCTTCAAGGCCTGCTAAGGATTGCCGAGAGTAGTCTGAAAGACAAATCCGTTGTATCAACTCCTACTACCGCCCCCGTCTTGGCAATTGGGAAAGGGAAGGGTAAGAAGAGGAAGACTCCTTCTAAGAGCCACAAGGGAAAGTCCTACGATGGTACCTATTCTAGTGGAACCAAGGTTGGTCCCGTTGCACCCTCCTCCAACCTGAAGGATGCAGAGTGCTACTATTGCACGAGAAAAGGGCATTGGAAACAAAGCTGCTCGAAGTACTTGCAAGATATCAAGGATGGGAAGATAAAACCATCCTTCATAGGTATTTACACTATTCAATATAATAACTCATCACATGCTATATCTTGGGTCCTCGATACAGGATATGGTTTTCACATTTGTTCTGGTTTGCAGAGTCTAAGAAGAAGTAGGGATGTGGAGCATGGGAAGATAAACATGATCATGGGGTATAGGAAAGAGTCGCTTGTCACCAAGATTGGAGTTTACTCTTTAGTGCTTAGTAGTGGGTTAGGTTTAGATTTTAATAATTGTTGTTATTCATCAGAAATAATGTGAAACATTATTTCCTTTCATGGTTTGTATAAACAAGGTTTTAGATTTTCTTTTGATAATGAAAAAGGTTCTATTAATGCTTTCTTTAATGGTTCTTTCTATTTTTGAAACATTGCCTTGTAATGGTATATATGAAACTGTGATGGTAGTAGAAAAATTAGGAAATTATGTGTTGCATATCAATTCTTCAAATAGTTTGGACAAAACATGCTTGTGGCATTGTCGTCTTGGACATATCAACAAGAAACGCATAACCCAACTCCAAAAGGATGGAGTGTTGGAGTCATTCGACCTTAGGCACGATGACGTGTGCGAGTCTTGTTTACTTGGAAAGATGACCAAGTCACCCTTCCCTGGCACTTGTGAAAGGGGTGAGGGTTTATTGGATCTCATACATACCGATGTATGTATGCCCTTTAGATCCACCACAATGGATGCAAGCCGCTTCTATGTGAATTTCCCCGATGATTATAGCAGATATGGGTATATCTACTTAATCAAACACAAGTCAGAAACCTTTGAAAAGTTCAAAGAGTTTAAGCAAGAAGTGGAGAATCAGCTAGGCAGGAAAATTAAGATGCTCCGATCCGATCGAGGTGGTGAGTACCTTAGTCTTGAATTCCACGACTACCTCAAGGAATACGAAATTGTTTCGCAATTGACGCCACCCAGGACACCGTAGTTGAATGGTGTGGCTGAGAGGTGCAATCAAATCTTATTGGACATGGTTTGTTCCATGATGAGTCGTGCTTCGTTACCTATCTCATTTTGGGGGTATGCCTTAGAGACTGCCGCCCATATCCTTAATCTAGTCCCTACTAAGAAGGTTTCCAAAACACCTCACGAGATGTGGATAGGGAAAGCTCCCTCGTTGGCACATATCAAGGTTTGGGGTTGCGAGGCTTTTGTAAGACGAGAGACTCATGACAAACTCGAACCTCATAGTGAGCGGTGTATTTTCACCGACTATCCGCAGAAGTCCTTTGAATATCTCTTCTATAGATCGAGTGACAATGTTGTCTTCGTTGTGAGGATATGGGTTTTCCGAGAGCGAGAACTCATAAGCCAAGAGGATAGTGGGAAGCAAATTGATCATGAAGAGCTTCAAGAATCAAGCGATGAAGGAACTTCTAATGCTGGTGTTCAACCCGAGGAGGAAACTCCTATTGAACCGATTGACGAGTCCTTACCTCTTAGACCTTCCAGTAGAGTTAGTGTTCCACCTGTGTTATATGGTTTTCATATAATAAGTGAGGGTGATACGTTTGTTAGTGATAGTACACTAGTAAATTTGGATGAACCTAATAGCTACAAGGAAGCCATGACAGGCCCGGAGTCTGCAAAGTGGAAAGAGGTTATGGACAGCGAGATTCAGTCCATGTATGACAATCAAGTTCGGAACTTGGTTGACAATGTACCAGATCGTAAGACGGTCGGGTGCAAATGGATCTTCAAGAAGAAGACCGACATGGACGGGAAAGTACACACTTATAAAGCGCGATTGGTTGCGAATGTCTTTACTCAAACTCCCGGAGTTGACTATGATGAGACCTTCTCACCGATTGCAAAGATAAAGTCTATAAGAGTTATGCTAGCCATAGTTGCGTTTCATGATTATGAAATATGGCAGATGGATGTCAAAACCGCTTTCCTTAATAAGAAGTTTGTTGAAGATGCTTACATGAGTCAGCCAGATGGTTTTGTTGATGCCCTAATAGAGTGTATAAGTTTGAGAAATCCATCTATGGATTGACACAAGCGTCTCGCAAATGAAATCTTTATTTCGATGAGAAAGTCAAAGAGTTTGGTTTCTTGCGAAACGAGGATGAGTCATCTGTATATGTCAAAGCCTGTAGATTTTAGTTTTCTCGTTTTGTATTGAACTCATAGGATATGTAGTTTGTTTTTTCTTTAAAAAAAATGCAATCACATCCATACTTTAAATCATAATACCCTTCGTTGCAATAGGCCCCGATAAAAATTCGCCTAAAATGGTGCCAGAATCGTAGCATGATCGCATGTGACCGACGTAAACGATGGAGAGTGGCTGGAGGTCATTTCCACCTGCTTTTGGTACAATCTCAGCCGTCTCTCACCCTTTGACGTCTCGCTGACTCATTCTCTGCTGCAGTCTCTCTCCCTCTCGACGTGTCAACTAAATCCACGGGAATCACCCTCTCCAATCTCCATTCGATCCTTGTGTAGCAACAGAGGGGCGGATTTCTCTGCGCTTGAGCGTCTTAAGGGGTAAGTATTCATTTCGTACAACTAATCAATACCTCTTTGCAATTGCGTTGTAGTTTTGATGGATTAACATGGGCTTAAAACAAAGTGATTATCTGTTATGCTTACGGAGTGAAATTAGGTTACAAAACTCATTGACGGATTTAGGGTTTTGCAATTTCTATGGTTGATTCTCATTTTGTTTATTCGCTACAGAAATTTGCTAAATTTTATTTCTTTTCGCGTATGCAATCGTTTGGAGTGGTTGAATTAGATAAACATGCATAACCTATAAAAGACCTAACCAACAGAACGACCCATTATAGAAACTCAATAAATGGAGCTACCTTAAATTTGAATACACAATGCATAACCCTAATGCAAATGACTAATTGGTTCAAAGGGGCAGATCAAATGGTGTCATTAGGGTTTACATAGATAGAGCAGATGATGACACCAAGGTCAAAGAGGTAGTAAACAAAAGCCTGTGACAATGGAGATAAAGTTTTTGGGAGTTGAGAAATCGGAAGAAGCTAGGGAAAGAAATATGCATAAAAACTAGTAAAATTATATATAAAATGGAATTATAGGAGATTAGGAGGCACATAGTAGATATAGAAAGATTGCATTATGCTTTAACTATGTCATGCAGATTGAACACAATATAGATACTTAAAACAACATTTTGTGGATTTTTCATATCATGTTGATTCTACATTTAAAAAAAGAATTACTCTGCACCCTACCCAACCCCATCTCTTTCATAGGCACCACAAAATTTGATTTATGTGTCACTACCACATTAAAATCTATCATCCCACTTTCAATTCTCTATTCTTATGTTTGTAGCTTATCCAACTTTTTTTTTTTTTTTTTTTTTTTTTTAATGTTATAGTTTGATTGGCTATAATGTGACTAATTTGCTTTCTATTGCAGCTATTCTTGATCACATCATCAAGGTAGGATGAATTGCTGCCTATCTTTGACATTACATTATTGGAGCTACTTATAATTGTTATTCTGAATCTAAAGGGTTCAATTCGTAACTTTTGTAGGCACAATAATGGCATTGCGAGAAAAGGGTAAGTGATTAAAACCTTTCATCTGTATGCTCATCTACTAGAGAATTTACAAGAAGGTTAGATCATGGTAATGTAAGCAGAGTCATAATCACAATTGTAATATAATAGATGATGACAACGTGTGTTCATTATGAATAAAGAGTAGGGTCCTAACTCCTAATCACAATTAGGGATCTAGGTAAAGTACCCTTTACAAGTAAATAGATATAATAATTCTTCTTAATCACCATGTTATTTGCAAGTGAATCATATAACAACAAATATCAATAAAAAGTTGATATTGAATTTGACTAAACAAATGTCCTAGCAGCCATTAGATAGCTATTAGCCAAGTTGTTTGTTTGTTTGTTCACTCCATAGTGATGTTATAAGTCCCATAATGCGAAAGGAATCTTTTCTCAGTATTTTTTGATTTTATTTCTTTTTCTTCGGATTGATGTTTCCTTCTTCCATCTATTTGTAAAGTTTTTCTTTGTCTATTTTTCCAATTATTATGTTCTCCTTTTCAATAATTCTACTTATCTTTCTTTCTCTTCTTGAATTGTGAAAACTACTGTCATTTCATGTCTTTTCCATCTTTCTTTCTTTCTTCATGCTACATTTAGATTCAATATTTTGTATAGTTATACTTTGATAGTTGCCTTTTTCTATCCTTTTTCTTCTTTAATGTCATATTTTGAACCATATCTCTCTTGAATACTTGACATGCTTTGTCAATTACATATACCTTTTTATAACGTACGATAATTATACTCTTTTTTTTTTTTTTTTGATATCGCAATAAAAAGATAGAAACAAAATGTTACACAATACACATATATGGTAAAAAAAATGATACCCCTCGTTCTCTACAACATCTTGATGATGTTTTTTTGACAAGACATTTTTTTCAAAGTCATTACGCCACATGTTTTTTCTTATATTTTATATTTTATTTTTCAAATATATCTCATATCTACTTGGTTTTCAATCCACTATTGACCAGGGTGTCAAAACAGTTGACCCCATTTTACTCTACTTTGATTTTATGTAGTTTTTACAGGACCTCATGAAGATGATTTGCAGGGTATGTGAGGTTTATACTAAATGTAGTAATGAGATGCAAGTTTCTATTACTTCTTTAGATATATATTATAATGTGATAAAAATTGTTCTTTTCCTTGTTGGCCTAAATTATCTTTTCTAGTTAATAATTCTTTCACTCATCTTCGATTTTCAGTCCTCAAAAAGAAAGCAGAGAAGTTTGAATTGAAAGAATTAGAGAGGATTATACCAAATCGAGGCAAATTACTTGTCCTTGAAAAACTACTTAATGAAGCCTATTTAATTCGTAGGCCAAAACCAAGTGAATATGAACATCGAAAGCAACTAATTCGAGTTTTTAATGAAATAGCAAGGGAATTATATGGTAAATCCCCTCTCACATTCTCTACTATTTACATTTTACATTCAAGATTTCCTATTTCATTTCTCTCTAATACAACATTCTACTTCCTGTTTTTTTTCTTTGCTAAGGCATTGTGTTTTTAACTTTTTTCTTACTTAGTTGCTTAGTATTTGTTTGACATTGCTATAATTGGTTATATTTTTCAAAGTAGAATGCTTTAAGATGCTATAAGAAACAAAATGGAAGTAGATTGTTGTTATTTCTTGCAAACCCTTTTTAGATTTGAAGTTAAGTTTATGGTTTAACACAGAGTGGATTTATTGTTTTCTGATTCAGGTAATTCTTCTGGTTGTCCTGTTGTTGAAGAATTCGGTTCTTTTTCAATGGATCTTTTTACTACTGGAAGTGACTTAGATCTCTCAGTCAACTTCAAAAACAAAAACAATAGTCAATCAGTGTTCCCTCGAGATCAGAAAATTAAAGCACTTAGGAAGTTTGCAAGAAAGTTTTATGCACTTCAAAGTACACTTTTTACCTATTTACCATTTTCTATTTATTAAGTTTTTAGTTTCTATTTACACAATCATGTATACGTCTGATTTTGTTTAATGACCGTTTTGCCCTTTAGCTGGAGGTCATGTACGAGGTGTTCAGCCTGTTCTCTCTGCTAAGGTGCCTATCCTTAAAGTTATTGATGCTGGAAGTGGTGTTGAATGTGACCTTTCAGTTGAAAATAGAGATGGAATTTCAAAGTCAGCTATAATTCGCTTAATTACTTCAATAGATGAAAGGTTCAAAAAGCTAAGTTTCTTGGTAAGCTTATATAATCTGCTACATGTATTAAAAATTATTCTAGTAAATATAAGGTTTTAATACCTTGAAATTGTAGCTTATTAATATGTATTATGGATACTAATGATAAAATCTATCTATGCAGATGAAAGCATGGGCAAAAGCACATGATATTAACAGTTCAAAAGATCGAACTCTTAACTCTTTATCCATAATATTATTGGTTGCTTTTCATCTACAGGTTTGCTTTTATACTGCTTAATACTGAAAGAAAGTCATCTTTTTGTATTTGTTATTTATATTATTTTTCAAGTGTTCAAAATTTGATCTTATAATTATTCTTTGGTTGCAGAATCGAGACCCCCCTATATTACCTCCATTTTCCGAGATATTAAAAGGTAATAATACTTAATTAAGCATGTAAAAGTAGTTAATTAGTAATTTAGTATTAAGAACTCGTCTTATACAATGAAACTTCATTGATGTTTGACTACAAGTCAAGCTTTAAACAAAAAGGGAAAAGAGGTTTGTTGATTATTGTCAATAAAGAAAAAACAATCTATTTTTATGTATTTGTTTATCCTATTTTCATTTCTTATTACAACATTGTACTTTGAAAAATCTTGGATGAGAATGTAGATTTTTCAAAGTACAATGCTGCAATAAGAAATGAAAGTAGGATGCTACTATGACAAACAAATAAATGAAAGTATATTGTAGTTTCTTGTATAGAAGTATTTTAGTTTATAATTGGGTGAGAATTTTCTAGATGGAGAAGATGTTGCATCGGTGCAGAAATCAGTTAGAAAATTTCGAAATTACGGTAGTAAAAATACAGAAGCATTAGGTGAACTGTTGGTGTCGTTTTTACTCAAGGTAAAATCTCCAAGATAGAACAGGTTGTACTGTGTTTGACTTGCACTGGACTAATGAGATTGATGTCAATGGGACAAAAATAACATTTTTTTTGTCCCATTGACATCAATCCCTTCAGTCCAACAAGCACTACTTGTAGTGCTTTTGGGGTGCACTGGATTGAAGGGATTGATGTCAATGGGACAAAACATCAATCCCATCAGGCAGTTCAGTGCACCCCAAATGCAGTACAATTGACTGCATTTGGGGTGCACATGACTTATTTGATTGAAGTCAATGGGACAAATTGCAATTTTTGTCCCATTGACATTTGTTATGTCTTATTAAATGGTTGTTGCAGTTGGCATCTGTTGAAAAGCTTTGGCCGAAAGGTCTTTGTGCGAGTACTTATCTAGGACAATGGACTTCTAAAACTTGGGCCACTAAAATAGCAAGCATGAGTGTGAGTTCTTGTAAAACCTTGTTTATTATTTTCAAAAATCTTACCAAATACATAACAATTTTACATGGGTAGATTTTTGAAGCAAAAGCTAAAAGGATGCTATCTTTAATTAACAAATAATTGAAAATAGGTTGATATTTCTTGAATTTAGCTTTTGTATACGTTTAAATATTATGAAGAATTTACAGGTGGAGGATTTCACGGATCGAACCCAAAATGTGGCGAGGGCAGTGGGGAAATCAGAGGTGGAAAAAATCTACAGTCGCATCCAATTTTCCATTCAAAGACTTTCTTTATTCATGAATGGTGAAATCCAAGAATCAGTTTTAAATGAATCTTTATTTGGCATCACCAATACATTGCACCACCATCCCCCGCTCACCACCACCACCCCAATGCAACCAAGAGCCGCCCAAAGTTGGCTACCAAGACCACAGCCAGTTGGCGGCCAGTGGGGTGGAATGGGAACCCAACATCAAGCCATGGGTTCCGGTCAAGAATGGTCTGATGACCACCCACCCAAAAGAATGCGGGTGGCGGCAGACAGTGCACCGGGAACCCAAGGTTGGGGTACTTGGGGACCAGAATTGGGAGGACATAGTCAACCGGCTAAAAGAATGAGGGCGGCAGAGGGTGCTCCGACACCACCACCACCACCGGGAACACAAGGTTGGGGTAATTGGGGACCACCCGGGTGGGGTGCTGAGGATTATAGGGGAAGAAGGGTTCAGCAACCAAATGGTCCAAGGTATCGTTTAGGCTAACCAGGGTGTGTGCAGTAGGGCTAACTGGGGTTGGGTTAGTTGTTTATAATAGAGTTTATTATGGTGTTTTAAATTATGGAAAGCTGAAATTGGCATTGGGATAGGCTGCCACCATATGTAACAAACCACAGTAACGGCTTTTGAATCAGAAAGTTGCTTTAACCATGTCTCCTTAGCTTTACTATATGTTATTTAAATTTTAAAATAGCTTTAACTATGTCAAATTATGCTTTGCTTGATTATGTCCGGTTTATCTAAAGAATTAAAAAAAAAAAAACTTACATACAAATAAATAGGTAATTTTTCTAAATCTTAATCTTATCCGTTAATTTTTTGATAAGTAGGTTGAGATCAGTAACTCAAATCTGTATATATTTTTTAATGTAAGTTTTTTGCCATTTCTGTTCTAAATGCCGTGTTTCAAAGATGGTCGTCGTTTTGGTGGAAACTGATGAGCTATGTTATTTTTTTTATGCTGTGATGTTTTTAATGATCATTTTTGTAAATATTCTTTTTAGTTTAGAACTTTAGTTATCTACAGATTATTAATTTATATGTTTGTTAAAAAAGCTCGACAAAATTGCAAAAATGGTTATTGTGGTTGACAAAATTCTATTGATTTGGTCCAAAATTTTTTAGTAGTGCACCAACGGTCAAAAGATTGGATCTTTTTATTGTTTTTGGTCCTTATATACTTAAAATGAAAACTCAAGAACGCAAAAACCATTTCCATCGACTGCGGACACCATCACCAACGACTACCACCACCATCACCACCGATTGTCGACACTGTTTGCCACCATCAACACTAACTGTTACCATTGTCTCATTCATCATCTCTTTACCTTTACAACTGCCACTTCCATCTGCCTCCATCAACACTAACTGTCACCACTGTCTCCTTCATCATCTCTTTACAACTGCCACTTCCATCTGCCTGTACCCTTTCCCAATGTTGGATTCAACCTATATACTTATCAATGCCAGAAAACACTTTTCTTCAGAGAAAAGCTTTGACCCACCTACGAGAAGTCCTTCATCAGATTGAAATGAGGTTTTTTCTAGTGTGTAGTTTACAGTTTGTACATGATTTTAGACTATAATTTTGTGATTTTTAGGTTTATATTAATTGAGTTATAGTTTTTCAAAGTCGGGATATCAAAGTTGAAAATTTTATGTTTTTCAGCTTTCTTTGTATTCTGTGATAGTTTTAAAACACACATATCAAATTTGTTTGAAGTCAGAATAACATGCGGTTTTTTCCAAAGGGTAGTACATAGTTTGTACATGATTTTGGACTATAATTTTGTAATTTTTGGTTTCATCTTCTATGATTTATAGTCTCCCAAAGTCAGGATATCAAAACTGCAATTTTTTTTCAGCTTTATTTTTGTATTCTGTGAAATTATAAAACATGCATATCTAATTCGTTTGAAGTCAAATTATCATGAGGTTTTTTGCATCATATAGTTTAGAGTTTGTACATGATTTTAGACTATAATTTTGTCATTTTTGGTTTAATATTCAATGACTTACAGTCCCCCGAAGTTGGGATATCAAAGTTGAAAATTTTCAAAGTTCAACCACTAAGTAATTACCAAAAAATTCCGGTTTTTCCGGTTCTACACCCACTTTATCCGGTTCCATCGGACCCACTTTGATATTTCCAGGTTTTCCGGTTCTAGACCCACTTTACCCGGAACCGGATCGGAACCTGTTCCTATATACTGGTCTGGTTTCCGGTCCTACAAAATCTTGTTAACCGGTTCCCGGGTTTTTCGGGTCCAGGTCTACCGGTCCGAATTTGGACTCACTCTCATCCCTAGTGTGTAGAACTCAACCGACATCATCATTAGAGAATGTTGCCTCAAACCTACAACTACAACTAGATCGAAAAACCCACCGTTTCTCCAATTTGGAAAAATCCTTTGATCTAAAACCCTCAAACCACAAAATCATAATCAAAAGTGGGTCACTATAAATTTGATTTGTTTTCATCTTCACCATTATCTTCAACAACACCATCATCACTGTATTTCTTCTATTTGTGTGTGTATATTTCTGAACATGATTTTGGTTCTTGAAGATTGATGAACCATATCTGTAAAGCATCATAAACCGTCAATGCTAGATGAACCATATATGGATATCCAGAAAGAACCTAAATCTGTAAATATGTGTGTGTGTGTGTGTCTGTGTTTATGTTTTTGAATAAAAAAAAAATAGAGTGAGGCGTTTGAAATTGAGTTGATTTTCATAGTTCTTCCAGATTAAAGACATCAATTGGGTTTGGGTTAAATGTCAGAGAGAGGGAGGGAGGGAGGGAGGGAGAGAGAGAGAGAGAGAGAGAGAGAGAGAGAGAGAGAGAGGTAGGGGTGGGCCAAATTCTTTTATTTTTATTTTTAATTAATAAATTATTAAAAGAAATATAAAAAATACAAAAATAAATAAATAAATAATGTAAAATAGTACGTTCTTTTCAATTTCTCTAGCTACCAAAACCATAGGAAAATCTTGATTTTGAAACATCCATCATCCATGCAAGTTGAAAACTTTTTAAATCTTATCCAAAAAATTTTGAAATTTTGCAGGTTAAAAAATAATAACATATGATAGATTTAATTATTCAGGCTCGTAAAACCATGGCTCTCAAATTGCTTTCAAGAAAGAAAAATGCTCACAATTTTTTTTTCTTGTGTTTACAGAGAAAGGACAAAATGAAAAGAAAAAAGAATTTTGTTTGACCATCCATTTTCTTTGGTTATCGACCTAAAGTGAAGATGAGAATAATTAAATATTTATGAATTTATGGTATATCTATCGGATAAAATAGTTATGAACTTATGGTATATCTATTAAATTCAAGTCTTTACCATATAAATAAAGTTTTTACCAACCACAAATATTTTATTTCTACATTTTTGTATAATCACAAAACAATCAAACCAAAACATTAATGTTTTTTTTTTCGTTTGTATTGTAGCAGCTAGCAAAGGAGGGTTTAAGAGAATTTGTTATGATTTCTATAGCATGGAAAGAGCTTCAGATTTGATGATTTTAGGAGGAAAATAATATGTATTAAGTTGTGAATATAGTGTGAATTAATTGTGAATGTATTATATTAAGTTTGTGAATTCTGTGTATTAAGTTATGAACTTTATAAATTAAACTATTAATAGAGTGAATTAAACTGTGAATTTACTGTATTAAATTATGAATTTTATATAAAATTTTGTGTTAAATTGTAAACGAATGAATTAATTGTCTAAATAATATTATAAATTCTTATTTCTATCTTCTAGGATGTTGTTGGTTGTAAAAGAAAATAAAATTTTGGTAGTATACAATAGATTTAATTATTCAAATCGGTAAACCAAGGCTCTCAAATCGCTTTCAAGAAAGAAACATGGGCATAATTTTTTTTTCTTATGCTTACTGAGAAAGGACAAAAAGAAATGAAACAAGAATTTTGCTTGACCATCTATCTTCTTTGGTTATCCAGAGAAAGTCACGATGACAATAATTAAATCTTTATGAACTCATGGTCTAACACCACCATCAACCCACTGTACCCATAATCGTGAAATGCAACTGAGACCCACTTAGAATTGGCCGCCACCACCACCATCAACCTAGTGTGCTCCTAATTGTGCAATACAATCGAGACGACCAATTCAAAATTGGCCACCCCACCACCTCTATTGCCACCACCACCAAGCCAGTGTGCTTAGCTCCTAATTGTGAAATGTAACCGAGATCCACTAGGAATTGGCTGCCGCCGTCACCACCACCACCGGTGGGCGGCTACTGGGGTAGACCACAACATGAAGCTATGGATTTCGGTCCAGAATGGGCGGTGCAAACGTTTGACCACCAACCAGCCAAAAGAATCAGGGCGTCAGAGGGATCAAAAGGTTGGGGTTCTCAGGGTAGTTCACCACCAGCAGTGGATGGACTTGGGTTGGGTGATGCAACGAGTAATGGCTCGGGTGGACCACAACAAGAATGAGCGGTACACCTCCAACTCACTTAGTAAAATAGAGGTTTGAATGAATATTTAAGTAGGGTCCATGGAACCCCCCCCCCCCCCCCCCCCCCCCCTTCTTACACTGTGGATCCGCCAGTGGTAATAATCTATTTTGAACATGTCCTTATCAAAATCATCTATATTGAACAAATGTGTTAATAAAAATCATATATAATGAAGAGAAAATGACAAAAATAGTCATTTACACTAATGATATTACAAAAATAGCCAAAAAAAAATCGAAATTACAAAATTAGCCAACGATTTCACAGATGGAGATGCCCCATTTGCGAAATGAGCATCTCATCTGCGAATGTACAAGCACCTAAAGCACAACTGTGATTTAGGTGCTTGTACATTCGCAGGTGCTTTTAACTTTTTTTTTTTTTTTTTCCTGTGTATATAGGGGTAAAATCACAAATGCAATAGGTCCATCTGCGATTTACTCTCACTCTATCTGCGAAATTGTGTTTATTTTTTGTATTTTTTTTTTAATAGTTTGATTACGAAATGAATTGGTTTGACTGAGAAAGTAAAACAATCTACAAAACTTTTTATATAGCAACATAATTTCGTAGTCAAACCAATTTATTTCATAGTCAAACTAAAAAAAATATATACAAAAAAAAAACCACAATTTCGCAGATAGAGTGAGAGTAAATCGCAGATGGACCTATTCCATCTGCGATTTTACCCCTATATATACAGAAAAAAATTTAAAAAAAAATAAATTAAAAGCACCTGCGAATGTACAAGCACCTAAAGCACAGCTGTGCTTTAGGTGCTTGTACATTCGCAGATGAGATGCTCATTTCGCAGATGGGGCATCTCCATCTGTGAAATCGTTGGTTAATTTTGTAATTTCGATTTTTTTTAGCTATTTTTGTAATGCCATTAGTGTAAATGACTATTTTTGTCATTTTCTCTATAATGAAAAATTAAGTTCTCATTAAAATCAAATTAGACTCTAATGAACAATTAAGTTCAGAAGCATGTCAACCAATCAAGTCAATAGTCACAAGGTCGATGCATATTATGGACTCGAGGAAATTGTTGTCCTAATTCCTCTCTTCTGAACTCAATTTTGAGATTCCATCAATCAGTATAAAGCTTGATAGAGACAGTTGTCTCATGATACCATGTAAAGATTAACAATTGTTGTATTTCACTCCATGAGTATAACACGGAATATATCGGTGTTTATACAGAAGAGAATGAGAAATAGCTAACTACATACAGAAGACTAGGAAAGTAGAGTTGATGAGTTCAATAGAACTCCTATAATATCGCAAGAATTTTACACGTTGTTAACATTGCACCTGTCATTTTTCTTTTATTAGAGAATTGCACTTGAAAAATCGGCACAATTACAACATTGTATTTTTATTTATTTTTTCTTAATATAAGACCATAAATCATGCTTTGTGTTTGGATGGTTTTTTGCTAATAATAATAGATTCTTCAAATTACAATGTTGTGATACGAATAAAAAGAAGATAACTAATACACACCAAATAGCACTAAGGAGAACTAAAAGTTATAGAAACAGCATGAAACAAGCAAAACGACCCCAGGGGTAAAATGGTCACACAAGCAAAGCTCCAAAGGAATAGCAACAACAAATAAACTATTCCCAGATAACAGCAAGGAAAGAATCAGTCCAAGGGTAAAATGGTCAAATCTCGTAACAAGTTGTTGGGAAGGAAACCACCAGTGACAATGAACTTCTAGATGCAAACAAATTAAGGGAAAAAAAGTAATAATTAATAAAAGCTTATGTTAACAAGATGTGTGAAATATTAATGAAAGAGAAATGAATTATATAGCGTATCATGAAGTTATTTTTGTAAAATATTATATTAAGAAACAGAATATACGTATCCAAACAAAAGTACGAAAGTATGTTAGGTTTTGATAAGACAACAAGTGGATTTGGTAAGACTGGGGTCAACTTGCCGTCTACAAGACTGCAAATCTCGTGGCCCAGATCATTGTAAACATCGGACAGATAAAAGATAAAACACCACCAAGGCATCGATGACCTCTAAACACACTTTACACGCAAATGGAATATATTTCTACTTTTATATATTTATAATATAATTAGTTTTAAAACATGAGAACAAACTTGTGTATAACCTAGTGTTTTCTATAGTATCACAACCCAATAAAAAAATCTCTTGTCGTGAAGTATACGCTCAAAGACCTTATAATAATAATGCATACTGCCTTTTTGCTCTCAAAGTACGTTCTAGTGAGTGCTTGGTCAGATTCCTTTCATTCAACACATGGACTATACATATAAGTAGAAAGGTCTCCTACACTTATAAGAGAATGAATCATGTGGATCACCTCATAAATAGAAACTCTTTCTTTTAAGAGAGGGAGAGAGAGAGAGAGAGAGAGAGAGAGAGAAATCGGTCGAACAACACCGAAGGATACGGCTAGGGTTTGATCAACATGAGCCATGTGCCTATGCATCGTTGTGGATGTCTTCAACCGATGGGCTCTTGTAAGCCTTGCATAAGATCAACCAAACCAACATCAACGACCATCCGAGTGGTCCATTTGGACGGTGTTTTAGAAGAATTTGATGCCCCGATCACTGTCGGACAGATAATCGGAGGTTTTCCCAAACACTTCATGACCACTCCGATACAACTTATGCACGGGTTGGTCTTAATGAAGCTTGATGCCTTACTCGAACCGGGAAGGATCTACTTTGTGCTACCCTACTCGATCCTTCGGTTGAATGAGTCTTCGAAAGACTTGATGTGTCTTGCGCAGAAACTCACAAGCATAGCCAAGGCCCATCGGTCCAAGCCCAAGCCCAAGCTCACCCGTTTGGCTAGCTCACCGGAGAAAGGGTCGAGCCAGGATTCAAACCCATGCATTGATGACTCCTCAAGAGACTTAAGTCTTGCAAAGGAGTTCACAAGCATAGTGAGGGACCATCGGTCCAAGCCCAATCGCACCCCGTCGGGTAGCCCACAAGAGACAAGGTCGAGTCGGCGTTCAAACCCACGAAACAATGATCAACGCTCAAGAGACTTGATTCGTCTTGCGAATAAGCTAAGAAGCTTAGCTA